GCATTTATTCAACTGGTCATTGTTGATGATAAACTCTTGAAACAAGGTTTACCTACAGTTTCACAGAATACTGTCAAAGATTTTGTAAATGTAATTATCTTATGATTGGGTTTATTGTGCTTAGATAAATAAATCTACAGAATTTAACTTACCTGCTTAGAAATAAAATTCTCTCATTTTTAAATAAACGCAATTTTTGAGCAATTATAGTCTATATGCATACCGGTAACATATAATTTTCCACCCATGCATACCATAGGATTCACGTAGGTATATTTACCCCCTGAGCAGAGATACGTTACATTCACACCGGTAACATACAAGTTTTCATTCATCTATCGCATAGCATACACATATGTATATTCAACTACTTGGAAGTGAAGATGGTCACCACTCCCTTAGAAACATGTTTTGACAACGGACTGTCACTTAGGCATTACATGCATATCACTGGTACAAAGGCTTTCGCCCCTACACTTCATGACATACATATAGGCACAAGCACTGTTTCAGGTAACATTAATGGTCACATCTCCCTAGTATTTGCTACCAACTCTTTTTATAATACCTTCGACCTGAAGGATTAGGCCAATGATTTTATTGAACATAGAGAAGGCATTATTCATCTTGAGTCCCTTTTTCTAGCCTACGCACATACTCATTGCATATACTTGCATACATAAATCCCACAAACCGAAACTCATACAATTCTTACACATAAGCGTACACACTGGGCAGCCGCGAGCCATGAGAATGAAGCCCATTCAGTCTTGTTTACAGAAGAGTAGTGGGTTAGTTCGATCACCGACCGCCTAGCTTATCTAACAAGGTTGCCCCTACTACCTAGAAGACTTATATGGAAGCCTTGAGTCTGATTTAGCTGTCTTTTTGTATATTATTTCACACTACTTAATGCTGAAAAAGTAGTCCGACATATTGAAGCATCCTGGATATGAAATTTTTTAGCATCAGCCAACTAATCTACTTGATTACTTGGAAATTTCATATTATTGTTTAAATCACATAAGCATTTGTTCTTTAATTTCTCATTTAATTTTCAATGCACTCTATGTTTTGTCTGTCTTTAAACAAGTCGGTTATATTTGAAGATAACATCTGATTGGTTCTTATTTATTAATGATATTATTCGTTGGCACAACCTTTTGTTTTGCAGTTCATGATGTAGTTTTTTATTATTTATTTATCTGTAGAGCAAACGAGATCTAAATACCGTGGCTGATAAATACTCATCTCATGATTTAGTGTTTGGATATTCTCTTTGTTTGAGTAACAGATATCATAGAAGTTGTTTGGGTAACAATCAGTTTAGTTAGACGACATACTGTTTTGATGATAAATTGTGCTAATCAGTAGGCAAGAATCCTTGAACCTACGTTTTTCACCAGATGGAACTTAGCAACAACGTTTTATCAGTGATTTTGAAGTAACTAATACTAACGCGTACTATCTAAGGTTCAAGTTTTCCTGTACATCTCCTCCAACAATCTAACATCAAAATATTGTGTACAGGATAGGGAGTCACCTATGCCAGTAATTACATTGTAACGTAATAGATAAAGCTGGTGTGGCTCAAAAAGAACGCATGAATATAAAATTGGCTACTTCTTAGTGACCTGTTAGTTTAAATGTTACTGTTTATCACAAGTTATAATAGAAACCTAAAAATCTCTTAAATTATTTGTCCACTAATCAATTTAAAAACGTTGTATGTTATTTGTAAACCTAATTGGCCAATCAAACCAATTGATAATGAATTTAGAATCTTTCTAGGATATTCGAAAAGACTACAGTCATCAGAGTTCATACACATTAATGATCAATTCGGTTCACAGACCAGTGGTTGAAATGTAGACGTCTAATTTTTCTCGATTTCAATTTTAAGTCTAGATATAGTTTTTTGGAAAGTTGGACAAATTGAATTCGGCAATACTTAAAATATCGAAATAATAACTAATCTACTATTATACAGAAAATAACATAAACCTGAAGCTGTAAGTTGAAAGATGAACGTTCGGTAGGATTTTTAAACAGTTCAAACGTTTGACAATTGCAAATCTTAAAACTTTTTCTTAGTTATGATCGAGCACTATCAATGACTTCGCACTGTAAACATCATACTCTAATATTTTAATCCATTCGCTATTGAATAGTCTGCTTATTTTTCGCGAAGTTATGAACGACAGGTTCTGGTCTTAAAAATCATAAACATGGAAATTGTTATGCCCCGATAAACATAATGAAGGGTAACTTTTGGGATCCATTTATGGACAAATACTATGCGTATATTTTTATCGTATAATTGTTAAATAACTAAACTATTAATAATCATGTCCCTCTTATTATGAGCTTTATTATGACCTATGAACTATTATTCTATGATTTACCGTTCTTGAATTATGCCCTGTCTATTAATTACTACCTCTCCCATCCACAGCCAAATTTGGCTAATTCTTGTACAAATGTTGTTTCCTACTTTGTGGTAGGAGGTGGTCTGTCTGGTTGGTATATAAACCCAGTGTGTTTGAAATAAATGATTCATATTGCAGAGGCTGAAATTGGTGTTCTGGACTTAACTGGCTGGGCTAGGTAGTAAGCAGGATCGATAAGTACTCTAGACTGCTCGCACGGGTTTTAGGCGTCACTGGTCTAATAGATAAATTACTGTTCTCTAACTGGCGGTATTATCACATTATACAATAACAGGGCTCACAGGCTACAAGTTATAACAGAAATAATATCTGAACATTGGAGAGATTAGTGCATACTGAGATACGAAAACTCACACTGTGATTTCGCTATTACAGATACCCAAGTAACTTTCATTGTGTGCACACTCTAGTTCTGAACATTGTTAGTCATAGGTCCAGTAACTACTTGTTAGTAGTTAAAATCATGTGAAAGACTAATCATGTACATAAGGTTATTCAACATCATAATGCAGGGAAACATGCTAAGACGATGTCGAAAAAATTCCAAATTGAACACAATAGACATCAACATGGTTGTTCCAGCATTCTCATATATAACGTCAATAATTTAACAGACAAAAGTTTCCATTAAAATCATTCCTACATTTACGACACATAAATGTACTTTAAACTCAAGTACTTAATGAAGAGAGAAATACTATTCAATTTATTTTCGTTGGCTTTTAATGAATAAGACTATGCGTGTTTATGTATCTTCCATACAATCTTGAATACATAGAAGAGAATAAACAAAACAGACAACAACTGAATAGTTTCGTTGAGATGACTTTGTTGTCTGTCAGTTCTAATTAAAATTAGATAAAAGAATAAAGGATTGTTTTCAACCAGAAGTGCTTAGACTTTACTCACAAAGGTCATGTAATTACGCATCACTGAATTTTTAAAATATTCCATGATAATTAAAGCAAAACTAACAATGGAATCTTGTCAGTTATCCGCATAATTTTAACTCATTATTATAATAATTATTTACTGTTTAGCTCATTTTCATATGAGTTCCGATGAGATATATAGTAAAATGTGTGTCATAAATGGATATTGTATATGTTCTCCATATTGTTCCAAAGTACACGAAACATAGTGAACGGTAAGTAGGATACGTGTACACTGCTTGAGAATATTGGTCACTTGTATTATACCTCAACTCAGTCGAGTTCCAAGGTGGAATGACATTTATTGTCAAATGCTAAATTCACTACAAAATTCTTCGTCTCTAACAACCATCGAAATACCTACATCAGATAGCGTAAGTGAACGCATCAGTGTAATATCTTTCAAGCTTCCAAATAATTTATTCAAAAATCATTTACTGTCAGATTAGTAATTTATTGGGATAATTTAATTGAAGGCAAGCAAATATTGTAGATGAATAAAATAATAAGAGAATGGCAACATATTTTGCACATACACAAGAATTAATTAAATAATGTTGAGAGTTTTTATAATCATAAACTGTCGGTTGTCCAGACGATCAGCTTCACATCATCATCATCACTATCATCACCATTGAGGCATGTATTTAAGCTGTGGAGAAGAAAGTGAAAGGATAGATGATTACGTGACATGGGTAATAGTAAGAATGAGTATTTATGATTAATTCTAAATGAACGTGTGTCGATAACCGAACAGCACACATTCTGAGTGAATGACAGTTATTTTGTGTAGCAGTTGAGTGATTTCAGGTGTATACGTGATTGACGAATAGTTTGATATGCACCAATGTGCTGATAACTAACTGTATAGACTAGTGGTGATGTCCAATCACCTCGTTCTCGTTCATTTTACATGATATGCTTAATAATAATATTCTGTGTTATGTTTTGGTCATATTCATATAATTTCTTTGTAGAGGTTTAAGTATTGTGTGGATATAGTTTTAAATCATTACAAAATTAGATGATATAAGCTTTTCAGCTTGAGGAGTCCCAATTTTTTACAACTTAAGAATGACTTGATTGATTGATTTTTGATACAAATTATACAGTAAACAGTTGAGATGACTACCATTTTTTAAACATTGTGTCGATGTTACTGTATGCGCTTTATATATGTATGATTCGATATTATTTCATATGCAGAAACAGATTTACATTTCATTTGTCAGTGCTATGAGTGTATTCTTAGATTTATACTTCCTTGCTTTTACTCAAGATTTAAACTCATTACCATTACGATGTGATTCGAGTTATTATATCACAATTTTCAGTGAAGCGACGATATTCATTGATGTTGGCACTAATCGCTGAAACCCAAAGTAGTGTGAGGTTTGCAATATTCCATGACGAGAAATAACCTTACACTGGCTCATACACAAACCGTGCTTCTGCTAGCTATCTTAAAGTAAGCGTATAGGTGTTTTTCGCAGATTTAAGTGATAAAATTTTGTTGATATTTATTTACGAGTATAAACTATAAGTTGTAATATTATGAAAGTTTCAGCAGCTATTATGATTTCTTTGCTGATATTAATATTAAATTTTTATTCTCATTTCAAGCCGTAAACACTTTGTAATGAACGTTGACTGAGGCTAGATCTTTAAATGCATAAATTCTTTCCAGTTCAGTTACCTTTAGTATAAAATGAAAAAATGGAGATTAAAAATTGACTACATTTCAAAAACATACAAAACCAATTCTGTCCATGTGTGTAAAACACGAAACAGTATGTTATTTGATCAATAATAATAGCGTCTATTGGGACTTACTAACTGTGAAACTATGTGGAGCGCTCATGTAAACGTGAGTTTCACTGTCCACATGACTTGGGAAAGCATATATAGTGTATGTTTGCCCATGTTTTAAACCAGGAATCTTCATTTCTTCTCCCTTAGCTAGTTGCATAATTGTTGTATCTCCATATAAGTTAAATACTAGTATTTTGTTTTTGCAGTTCTCTCGATCTTGAAGCTTCCAACGCAACGTTACGAATAGTGAATCACTGGATTCAGAAACGATATCTGAAATCCTAGGTGCACCTGAAATCCGGAACCCAAAAAAATAAACAATGCAGACGGTTTATCATTTAATATTTTCAGTGATTGCTGTAAGTAAATTAAAGTATTCAAAATAGTCACAAACATGTCCTCATATGAACAGTCAGTAATAAGACTTACCTAGAGTCTTTTCGAATTCTTCGGTGAATATTTTTCTGAAATCGGTCTCAGTCTTCAGCTTCTTAGATATGGTAAATTTTAAAACTTGTGGTATACACAATGGTATGCCACACAAAATCACTTTGTTTGAAGTAGATACTGCTTTTAACTCCGTATTACTGGGTATTTCCAATTCATATTTATAATCAGAATCAGGACTTTCTTTATAATCGACTTTAAATGTAGCACAATCAAATGCATATGTTCTTGTGATGTCTGAACTCACAAACGCTTAATGTTTCAAAAATCCGATGAGAAAATATAGAAAATGGAGAAAAGGAACTAGAAATGATTTACGTGGAATAAATTATTTCAAAACATTCTGTTACAACACATAGTAAAGTAGACATAAAAACAACGATTATTGTGATGCTGTGTGGTACTGAACATGTCAACTGAATGTCAGATTTCTTTTAGTCAGTCTACTTAAACAACTCTGTAAGGAACTATAACAGGCCACATGTTCATTATGGGGCGTGAACAGTTCGAAAAATCGGTTGGTTTGATTTTTTTTAAACTGAATGAAAATTTACAATACAACGTAACACTAACTTTACATTTTTCCTCAGGAAGCCACTACGAAATAGTTACTACCGGAAAAACAACATATATTCAAATTAAATTCTACAATCGACTCAATGTAATACTAATTAAGAATGTAGACTATTTATTTCTGAGTGTAATTGTCGACCTTAAACATCAAAAATGAGAATTACCTTCTGTCAAGGTAATCCGTAGGACGGTTATCAGACCAACAAACCCAAGCAACATTATAATTCTATGTAAGTGATCGTTATAATTTCAATTCAACTTAATATAGATCACATTACGTTTATATATATTTATATATATTATTCTAATGGTGTGATTTTATTTAGTCAAATTATATTGAACCAGACAACATCACTCCACATAACTTTGTTCTTCTTCTCGTGAATATGGTTATTATTCTAATAACAATTTACTTTTCTCACTAAGAGTTATCATTTTTTTATAAAATTATCATGCCACATAGAAGGTATGAATATAGTTTACTTCACAATTAGAGTGGTTGACCCAAAGAATGTGTTGAATCTATAACAGTTCATTTCATATATATATATATATATATATATATATATATATATATATATATATATATATATATATATATATATATATATATATATCATTAGCAGAAAAGATAAATCTGTCTGAGCTGTTTCAGTTCAATATATTTTCATTAAACTGATCATTGATTGTATTCACTGAGATAAGTTGTCCATTTAATAACAGGTACTTACTTGCTTACGTATGTTATCACTCAAGAGGAGCATAGGTCATCAACCAGAACTTTCCATCCAAACCTGTCCTGGACAATCATTTCTGGTTCTTTCCAGTTGTGATTCATCCTTTTTATATCTGCTCCCAAGTCCGGACGTAGTGTGATTTGGCCTTAGTTGAAGTCGAAATCTAATCGATTCCGAGTTGTTCATTCTATTCCGTGCTTCCCCCCGATGTCGAGGTCTTCAAAATCCAGTGACTCATCAGAAGAAAGAGATAGGGGGAGGGTAAGCAGCCTTGTCTGACTCCGGTCCTCACTTGGAATGCATTCGTCAGCAGTCTTCCATGCACCACCTTGCACTGTAGTCCGTCGTAAGAAATCCGGATGATGTTGACGATCGTCTCAGTTGCACCATAGTGTCGAAAAGGGTTCCATAAGGTCATCCTATCTACACTGTCAAACGTCTTCTCATAGTCAATGAAGTCGATATATAGTGACGAGTTTCACTCAACTGATTGTTCAACGATGATCCGTAGTGTCGCGATTTGGTCTGTGTACGACCGATCCTTACGGAATCCGGTCTGCTGATCTCGCGATTGGGTGTCTACTGAATCCTTCATCTGGTTCACCATCACTCCGTTGAATATCATTCCCGGTACTGACAGTAGTGTGATTTCTCTGTAGTTCTCACATTTGCTCAGATCTCCCTCCTTTGTTATCTTGCTGAGGTGTTCTGCATTCCAGTTTGTCAGTGGCACTTTTTCTTCCTCCCAAATCTTCTTGAATAGAACATGGAGCATGTTTGCAGCTACTTATATGTCTGACTTCAGAGCTTCGGCTGGTATATTGTCAGGTTGTGCTGCTTTCCCACTCTGCATTTGTCTAATGGCCATCCTGACTTCTTCCATCTTTGATGGGGTGAAATCTATAGGCATGTCTGTATGTGCTGCTTCAATGTCTGTTGAGTTTAGGGGAGCTGGTCTGTTCAAGAGTTCCTTAGAGTGTTCTACCCATCTACTTCCCTGCTCTTGAAACTCGGTGATTGCCTTGCCTTCTTTGTCCTTGACCGGTCTCTCTGCTTTACCATATTTCCCTTTCAGTTTCTTCTTCGTGTCATATAGCTGTCTCATATTACCTTCTATTGCAGCATTCTCCGATGTCGTTGCTAGATAACCCACATATTTCTGTTTGTCAGTTCTAATGCTTGTGTCTTGAATTTCTCTGCTCTTGTTCGGCTGTTGTTAGATGATGTCTTCGTGTTCTCCCTTTGTTGAATCTTGTCCAGGCGTTTGACACGTCGAAGTTAGTGCATCTTTGACCTCTTTCTGATAGTCGTCCATCGTGGATTCTTCTTCTTTCGGTAGATTCTGCAACGTTTGGAACCTGTTGTTGCGAGTTGTCTTGAATTGGTTAAATTTGTTAGTATCTCAAAAGAAGGCTGTATTGAATGTTTGTACTGTTGCTTCCCCAGTTGTCCAGTGTTTCTTTACATTCAATTTCATCTTGGCTACAACCAGGTGGTGATCTAAAGCCAAATCAGCTACTCTCCTGGTTCTCACGTCTTCCATTATCTTTCTGATGTTTCTATTGATACAAAAATGATCTATTTGGTTCTCGGTGTTGTGATCCGTTGAGACTCATGTAGCTTTGTGTATACGTTTTTGTGTGGAAATATTTTGCCGCCTATAACCAATTTGTAGAATGAACATGGAGTTGCAAATTTCTCGTCATTCTCCTTCCTTTCTCTTAGTTCACATCGTCCCATGATATCTTCATATCCGCTGTTGTCCATTCTGACTATGGCGTATAGGTCTACCATCACGACGGTCAGGTCCTTTCCTGACACAGCTTACTGTGATCGATTGCAGCCTCTCGTTGAACTGATCTTTCTCATCGTCATTGCTATCGTTGCTGGGTGCATAACACTGGATAACATTCATCGTGCTTCACTTCTTCTTTGTTTTCAAGGATGCTTGTGGATGCTAAGTGGATGACGTGGTGGCGTTTGATGCAAACAGTACTGAGTTGGTGTCCCGGAGTGGACATCAACTCTGGGATGCACGTACATCTAGCCGACGAGTCCCAAATAAGACGAAACGCGCATCCTGTATTCCACTGTCAGCCACTATCCAATATTGATTAAAAAGCTTGTCATTTAAAGCTATATCGAGGCAATCCGCACAGGGTGCATATATGCCAACAAGAGACTGATCAATTGAAGTCCTAAATAACAATGGGAAGATACGAGTAAAACAATACCAGGTGAGTTTGATGCTTTGATGATCCTGGATCCATGAGATTCTCTTCCTATAATTCTTTTCCATGCTTCTTTGGATAACATCAGAGCGACTATCTGAGTGTGTGGAGCAATTTTCTTTTCGTGATCGGAGTACATTAGCATCTCTCCCATATCTAGAGTTTGCTGTCCAGTTTGAGTCCAATGGGTTTTGAGTACTGAATGCAAGTACTGCCAAGTTGTTTCTCCTCATTTCCGTTGCTATTCGACTGGTCCCCGTCGGCCTGTCACATTGTCCGAACATTCCATATACCTATAAATGTTGTTGCTCTGGTTGTTTGAAGGGGAATCGGCCTCATGACTTCAGAAGAATTTAGCCTTTCATCATGAGGTGTCATGACCTCCAACTTCCAGGGTGGTGTTTGAATGGTTTTAACTATTTTTTCTGGTTGACGTTTTTGGTGAGTTATTTTTCTACGGGATGGAGTCGCTTCACCCATGTCCAACCCTCCTCTTTTGTGCGTGATCGAGACCGGCGGTAAATCTAGATGAGCTACAGGTAGAGCTGTTTAATAACAGATACTATCTATATGAGTGCTGTTACGATATTTTCATTAAGAAATCTAAATTTCCATCGATATCAAACCGTCCTTGGTCTTAAAATATTCAGAAGCAAGGTAAGTGTCAAGGCAAACAGTGTCTTCCAACGATATGATATTTTGTTTATCTAAATATTAGTATTACTTAGATGTTCTCGTGTTTGTAATAAATGAGAAATGCTTGGTAAATGATTGCATGTTTTACACATATTTCAACAGAATACATTCAAGTGCGTTCACGGTTTTGTCATATTTTGAATTGATAGGCTAATCGTTATTACAAAAGTTTGTTTTGAATAGAACGGGAATTCTTAATTTGTTAACTGTATTTAATTATATCAGTTATTCTCTTAGAGTCTTGATACGATCATGTAATTAACAGTTGGATATTAATTCAAGTGGTGATGTATTTTGGATTGTTTTGAAATCTGATTAATGGTTGTAAGAGATATCAAAGAAGAAAAAGTTGTAACTTGTCTGATTACATTAATCAAGAATAATCGCTACAGCTCACTAAGAAAAACCTGGCTTTTCCTGACCGAGCAATGTCATTACACTATTATTTTGTAAGCCATATGAAAACTAACAACTTTTACTGTAAAGATAAAGCAACATTGCATACAAACGATGACTAATGGATTACTCATTTCACAGGTGGACATCGAGAGCAGCCGGTAAAATACAAATTCTGTGATCAGCTTTATACTTAACTGTTCAATAGCTTAACAATTTGGTTTAATATATTTAACTAAGAATATAAGCAGATGCACCCGCCAAAATGTTCATTTAAAGAGGTGACAGCTATTTACATAAATTACAAATCTTCTAATGAACTTGAATTTCGGTCCATGAATATACCAAGTAACTTTTAAAGTTGATTCGATCAAACGTAGACTCATAGCCATAAGACTGTTTATTTAATTGATAAATAATATATTCTCACGAAAATTCACCAAGTCATCAAGGAAATTACTATCTGCTCATTGAGGTGAAGGGTTGACTGGGCATATTAAGTCTGTTTGGTGTAGTGAATATTCATTTTACTGCATGTTAAGATAAAGTTCCTCATCCAGATGTGATTAGTAATGTTGACACTTTCGTTAATGCTTTCATTAACTACAGCATCGTATCACAAATCTCGCATCCAAAAAAGGATTGCACCCACCTATTGGATCAATTTGCAGTTCTATGATTTCGTTGCTGTAAAATATATTTGGGTTCAATACTTAAGATTGTTAGTTTCGAATAGAGTTATCAAACCCGCTGAAGTTTTTATATCACGTATCACTGGAAATAAACCACCGAGGTTTGGATGCTGAAGAACAAAAATCTTCATTTTTCATTTATGATTTAGAAACCTCTCTTGACCGACAATAGTTCATTTATATTTGTTCGGAAGCACAACTACGAATGAAAAGTGGAAACATTTTCCAAAGATTATTCAAAAACTCAATTGCTCTGTGATTAAAGTGCGAACCATTCTCCACTGCTTCTAAACATCCTTATTCTAATGATTATGGAGAAAATTACGTTAGGATTGTAAAAACCGTTATAAATTTGTTTTCTTCTACGAAATACAGAGAGTTGGAAAGGAGAGTAAATACATTTCCTCACTAATACAGAAATACCGAGGATTTAATCAACTTATCGAAAGGAAAGACTATTCTTCCGGATATAATGTGATTGCAATTTATAGACATTACCTACCCGAGCCGAAATGGTTCTTGACCACCAACTGGATTGTTTGCCAATGAATGTCAGGAGACCATGTATATGAAGAGAGGAGAGTAAGTATATTCCTACTTCAGTATATTCCTACTTCAATTGTTAATTATAAAACTAAAGATTTAATTCTAGACAATTTAGAAGTGACTTTTAATACCGATTCAGACATTCATTCGATGAATGTTTGGAAGCAACACCAAGTGAATCACAGTGATCCTTACTAAAATTTAGGATGTAGTGGATGATTTACAAATCGTCAAACTGCATCACGAGGCAAGCCCTAACTTGGAATCCTGAGGGGAAGCGAAAAAGAGGAAGGCCAAAGAACACATTGCGTCGGATAATAGAAGCAGATATGAAAAGGATGAATTACAACTGGACGGAGCTAGAAAGGATTGCCCAGGACAGGGTTGGATGGAGAACGCTGGTGAGCGGCCTATGCTCCTTCACGAGGAGTAACAGGCGTAAGTAAGTAAGTAAGTAAGTAAGGATGATTTACAAATAACTAAGCCCTTTATTCACATATTTTCAACAGACTACTTTTGTATACGTTTACAGATTTTTCTGTCTTCAACCGTGGGTTCATTCGTAATTGCTAAATCACGTTTTGTATATGCAATTACTTACACACAATACTACGGGCTATTCTAGGGGAATTCATCTGTTTGACAGTAAAATAGACGATGATCCATAGGACCAGACTGAAATCAACTAAATCAGAATCTCCTGAATAAAACAACAAGCGTAGTGGTAGTTAAGCGAAGCCAACATATCAGTGGTTTGAATTGATCAGACGACCAAATACAACTATAAGGTTACATATGGAGTTACATATAGAGGGATTGGATCCTAATATCCAAATCCTTTGCGAAAAAATGTATCATGGTTAATTACTGAGGAAGCTGAGTTGGAAATCATAGAAAAGATTGTTTCTTGTACCACAGTAAAATTCAACCCCATTTGATTTTCTTACAGCAAATGATATCTGATACCAGTGATTTCAGGACTGCGCTAACTGACTTTATTAAATGTAATGTAAAAAACAATTAAATTTTGGCGTATTAAGAATACTGCAGTGTAGTTTTGTTAAGTTGTAGATTGAACGAGTCAAACTTAGATTGCAATTCATTTTGTATTGTTTGTTTGAATCTTTCCATTGATGTTTAGGACTGCAATTGATCAGTCTCTTATTTACATATATGCATCCAGTACGGATTGCCTCGATATTGCTTTAAGTCACTAGCATTATGAGCAAAGATGGATGGTGGCTCTGGGATGCAGGTTTATCCAGCTGACGAGTCTCGAGTAGGTCAAAAGGAATTCCTTGGATTCCACTGCCAGACACCATCCACCTTTGCTTAGACATCAATAATTTTGTCACGTGTTTATGAAAAAAGAACTTGAATTTTGTTTAGTTTAATATTATTGAACTTAAAATTAGCACCTGATACTGTTCTAAAACGTACAGAGATAATACCGAACTGATTAGTTTATCAACTGGTGTGTTTTCCATTCACTTTAGATTAATGTCAAGGATCAAGTATAAAGCCGAATTGATGAACCGTAATAGAGTGACAGCTCATCTAAATTTTGTTATGGAGCAACTCGCTGATCTTAAGGAACAAATGAATTTCAAAGCTTTTTGGCAGATGATTTATGGTTGAAACTATAATCCGCATCATTAGTTTATGTACTACTTATTTTAATTTACATCGCAATGATCCAACTGAGGCTTGCATACTATCTCGAAATATCTACAAACAATGTATCTTCCATACAATCTTGAATACATAGAAGAGAATAAACAAAACAGACAACAACTGAATAGTTTCGTTGAGATGACTTTGTTGTCTGTCAGTTCTAATTAAAATTAGATAAAAGAATAAAGGATTGTTTTCAACCAGAAGTGCTTAGACTTTACTCACAAAGGTCATGTAATTACGCATCACTGAATTTTTAAAATATTCCATGATAATTAAAGCAAAACTAACAATGGAATCTTGTCAGTTATCCGCATAATTTTAACTCATTATTATAATAATTATTTACTGTTTAGCTCATTTTCATATGAGTTCCGATGAGATATATAGTAAAATGTGTGTCATAAATGGATATTGTATATGTTCTCCATATTGTTCCAAAGTACACGAAACATAGTGAACGGTAAGTAGGATACGTGTACACTGCTTGAGAATATTGGTCACTTGTATTATACCTCAACTCAGTCGAGTTCCAAGGTGGAATGACATTTATTGTCAAATGCTAAATTCACTACAAAATTCTTCGTCTCTAACAACCATCGAAATACCTACATCAGATAGCGTAAGTGAACGCATCAGTGTAATATCTTTCAAGCTTCCAAATAATTTATTCAAAAATCATTTACTGTCAGATTAGTAATTTATTGGGATAATTTAATTGAAGGCAAGCAAATATTGTAGATGAATAAAATAATAAGAGAATGGCAACATATTTTGCACATACACAAGAATTAATTAAATAATGTTGAGAGTTTTTATAATCATAAACTGTCGGTTGTCCAGACGATCAGCTTCACATCATCATCATCACTATCATCACCATTGAGGCATGTATTTAAGCTGTGGAGAAGAAAGTGAAAGGATAGATGATTACGTGACATGGGTAATAGTAAGAATGAGTATTTATGATTAATTCTAAATGAACGTGTGTCGATAACCGAACAGCACACATTCTGAGTGAATGACAGTTATTTTGTGTAGCAGTTGAGTGATTTCAGGTGTATACGTGATTGACGAATAGTTTGATATGCACCAATGTGCTGATAACTAACTGTATAGACTAGTGGTGATGTCCAATCACCTCGTTCTCGTTCAGCTTACGTGAAATGTCTTTCACTCATAGAATTGATATATACTTTTTGTTTACTGTAACTTTATAGTTCTGACCAATTAAATTGTCAAACATACTGTCATAACTCATGTACTTAGTGAACGCGACGTATTACCCGAAATGGTGAATACATGTTGAAGCAATGGTATTTCGGCAACTTACGAACTTTGATATTAAGCCCAGCGGACATGTATACAGTGGTCTCCGTGTCCACGTGATTTGGAAAAGCGTGTACGATGTAGGAACTGTCTGATGTTAAAAATGGAACCCTGATTTCTTGTCCTTTAGCCATCTGAATAACCGTTTTGTCGCCAAATAGAGCGAATTGTAATTCTTTATCCTTGCAGTTTTCGTAATCTTGAAGTTTCCAGTTAATGATAGCAGTTTTGGCATCATCGAAACGTACTTTCATTTCACTGATTTTAGGTGCTTCTGAAATGTAAAAATATATTTGTGATTATCATGCTTTCATTTCTGACGACAACGATGTTGTCTTAGAGCAGTGTATTTAAAACTCGGCAACTACTTACTAGGTTAGCAAATAACTCTTGGAATATACATTATTTGTTGGAATACTTACCTAAAGATTTTTTATATTCCTTTGAGAAGATGATTTTGAAATCTTCGTCATTCTTTTTCTTCTCATAGATTTCGAATTTTAGAACTATCTCTTTACACATTGGTATTTCACACAATTCCACTGTATTTGAAGTTTCCACTACCTTCGGGTTCTTCGAACCCACCAACTCTAATTCGTATCTGTACATGCTGTCCGGATGTTGTTTAATATCCACTGTATATATAGCGCAATCATATCGATATTTTCTTTTTATATCTGAATCAGTCACCGCTTAACATTCCAAATTTCCAACGGTGAATATATGAAAGAGGAAAACACATCAACATAAATACTGTAAGTTAGTGTGTTAAACTTGATAACAATATATTGGTTAGCAAAATACATTGGATGAAAATAAGGATGATTATTGCAATTCTGCATTATTTGAAAAGGAAGTCAAACAAACGAATAATATTTTTATTAATTAATACTAGACGAAATAGCTTAATTTTCATTTTCAAAAGAATAACTTGTCTTCAAAATAACTTTATTTACTTAATTGAAACGAAGTCTTCTTCAAATCTATGCTTGACTACGACACTCAATCTGTTCGTTTTAGATTGTGAATTACCTCGATTATCTAACCACCATGTTTACTGTCGATGAACAACACTATACATTTTATCTCTGAATTTCATTTTCACAACAGCAGTATATACTAACCACTATTCTTGCCTGATAATAATCAAGATGATGATGACAATAAATCTCGGACATTATAGAAAGGAATTACCTTGTACCAATGTAGTCAGTAAGACTGTTATTAGACCTACGTAACAAAATATCATTCTATATAGATATGAATAAGTGCTTTGATAATTTCTCAGTTATATATATATATATATATATATATATATATATTTATTTATTTAAACATCATTCTGGTGGTATGATTTTTATAGGTCAGCAGGTTTCTTTTAAATTTCTTCATTGTTTATCAGTGGTGCCATTACTATTATTATTATTATTGTTAAAACGTTATTTTGTCTCTAAACAATTAAATATTTTTCTAATTATCACACCATATACGAGACTTGAATAAAAATGGTTCATTAATCAAGCAATGATGAAGAGAAATAATGTAGTGAAATTTAGTGAATATCTATTATTCTTTAATAATATTACAATTTTTAAAATGAAGCTAAATTAACGTTATACAGGAATGGACCTCTTATTCTGTTTTATCAATGCTAAATGAATAGGCATGCATTAAGTTTAATATGAATGTAAGCACATTGATTGAGTGTTAATTTGACAATATTTACACATCCATCAAGTTCTAGACTAATGTCTTACAGCAATACAGACTTCTGATGATTTGAAAAAAGTTTACTATACATTTATAATAAGAAACATCTAACGAATTTTTTTATGTCAATAGTTTTATTAAGATACATGTTTGTGTTCACAAATGTAAATGATTATTGACTTATATTAATTAAGTTAAAGCCAACACATGTTAAATATTTAAACAAAGTAATTGTGAATGTAATTTAACCAAGCTAAAAAATTGTAGACTATAACTTATCTGGCATACAATCAACATTTTGAACAGTGAACACTTAAACTATACATCTGTTTCAAAGGTGAGTATCTACCTTGTCATTTTCTTACTTTATACGTTGAAAGTCACCTACTTCTCTCGATACGGTTATTTAATCTTTGCCAGTGTCTCTTTATTAATCACTACTTGAAGGACAGTTCATCATATGTGTTGAGGAGTTTAAGATCTGTAAAGATGTATCACACGCGACAAAATCGTTTATACTATTGATTCTAATCAAATCAGTCAAATAGCTGAAAATATAATAAACGTATTGTATATTGGATAAAACAAATGTTTTTTAGTAAAGGAAAACAGAGCGATTACTTTGTAGCATGTATCTCTGGTACATTAGTACAAGTTTTGCTAATTTTTCAAGGTTTTATTATCTCATTATCAATATTATTGTTCATTTTTTCAGCTCGGGCACCAGTTATATGTAGCTGGACTTGCCTTTCATTTATATATAGTTCTGAGATAAATTAGACTCCTTTTACAGATTAATTTTCAATGTAAACACAAAAGTGATATTCAAAGCGAAAGTAAGCTGTTAAGTGTTTAGATTACTCAGTGTACCTTCCATGTCTAAAACATGCAATCCATCATCTTAACATCCACATGCAATTGTAATTATAACACCTTTTCGGTACTTCCGATCATGTTTACCATTTTATTAAATAACCATAATTCTACATTTACCAAAATTAAGTTTAGTACCACATTTATTCCGACAACAAGGCTTGGTTTTGGGATTTTATCAACATTGTGAACTTAACATGCACTTTACAATTTAAATGCTTAACATTTTAGCCTATTACTCCTTTGTTGAAATAGTTTTTGAGTGCATTATGTCCGTTCAAATAATGTAGCCTTATGTTTTTTAGCGTCAACTCTAGTCTTTTTATCAAACCGCCCGTGTATTTAGAATTCTGTGTATTTCGTTATCGTTTTAAGCACCTCTATTTTTGTTGTCGGAATGATGAACAGGCTGGTGATAGTGATTCAAGTTAAATTCAATGGATATTTCATGGGATGAGTTACAGCTTCCTTGGTGTTTAGATTATTTCAGCTAAATGTGTCTAGACAGACTTAAGTATGGGACAACTAGTGTAATTAAATGTAACTCTGTTTGAATTTGTATAGATGGTGTTCTTCGATGACAAGATACGAACCACACAGATATCTAGTAGCTGTAATGTTTTCAGCAGATTCGTGCATTACTTAAGAGAGCATTTGGTAATGCAGTTACTCTCATTTTATTTTGGCTTCACAGACTACCATTTCATAACTCGATTTCATTTGATCACATTCTCAAGGACGACTGCTTTTGACTAATAATATTCTTTGAAGAGAGTATAGACTTAGATCCCAAAATTCATGATAAGAATAATGTACACACATTGAGAAGTCTCAAAAACAAAACTGTTGCCGCTGTTTTTCATGCACAGGTTGCTTTAGAAACAAAAATCCAGACATCAGGGTGATACCTATGGTCATGTCTAAGTCTGTAGAAAAAGGAAGCTTTATTTTTTGAAATCCTCATAAACTGTTGGATTTTACACTTCATCTTTCCAATTATTCGTTAGTCGTTCATTCAATAAATAGTGGTATGAGAATGATCTAATAATCACTAATAAATCGACTCGAAAAGGGATTGCAAAATAGTGAGGTTTAGGATAGGAAGAAATCAAGATATGAAATATGACTATAAATGTGGCGGATAGAAGGGGAACTCTAAAGAGCCTACGCGTATTTGTTAAATGACCTGGCGCTATTGAAACGTCAACAAATAATCCAAATTACGCTATGTTACATGCTTGTGATGAAAGAATAATTGTTGTTCATGTTTGATGCTTGATTTCGTCAAACTACATTTTATAAGCAACTACCAACATCCATGTTCTTCACCACATTAATTAGGGAGGCGAATCAAACGGCCAATCCTAGGTCGCCCAGTAGCCCCATTAGTTAGTGAAGTATTCATAGTTTGGATCTATGGTGGTGAAGTAAAACCATCTGATTTCAACGAAATATCCGCAGCAACTGTAACCGAGCTACAAGAATTGCTGACATTAGGGCTTTATGTAGATAAAGGTCAGGTACGTTTTACAGTTAAATTAGTTACTGTTATTTGTGACACTAGCTCGTAGCGAAGTCAGATATGTTGTTGGACACAACGGTATCGCTGGTTGTGACAACTGTCAGGATTCAGGGATACAACTAGATGGTTGAATGACTTTCTCCAATGGTGAAAACGAATTGAGAAGTGACGTCATTTTTCGTAGTACGTCCCAATTCATCCATCATCCTAGTAGAAGTTTATGGTGTTTGTGTGAAATAATAATTCCTTTGTATTTGTTGAATGCTTGGTTTCGAATTCCAAATACAGTACATTCGTTCGTGCTTATCTAGTTCTTCATGATCCAATTGCATTATTTCTGGGATTCTTAGTTCGTACCATAGTTCAAATACTCCTAATTATCATAGAAAGCCATATTACAGGCCAAAAAATTACGAAACTTGACGTGTGATGGAAATAAATGCTGTTAGTAGCTGATAAATAACAACACCCAACAACCTCGACAACATGTAACATGTGCGCGAGAACCCATAGCTCAGCTTCGTCATCGTCCTATAGTCTGTTCTTCAATATTTCAACTGCCATATCTCCCTTGAATATAATATTCAGGAATAAAACTTTATTTGGAACTTTGATAGTACTTCCAACTTGACTTTTTGGTTTTAGATTACTACAAATGAACCTGGGTGGGGAACCAGTGATTTTACTCGTCGCCAAGTATGTCTATAGTGAGTATTCGTTTGTCTCTCGATGATAGGAAATGAAATAAGTTTTGATTCCTGGAAGCTCGTATACTACCCAGTCCAGGTTGACTTTCTGTACATCAGTTGTTGTAGACACCCACCCACATCAAGAAAGCAAAATTCACCTTCCGCTGTGTTGCAGGTGTAGCGGTAAATAAATCCCCAAAATAAATAGCCCTAAGTTTTCGACAATGGATGCTGACCATATGTTTTAGTGGACTCATCTAGCTGAAGGCGCTCGGTCATGCATCTGCACCAGATCACGTGTGGTAACGCTGTGCTCAACATCAACCACAATCGCTAGCTAGATTAGATCAGAGAATTTCGATATATTGGTGATCGCCAAATACACTCTTCCGATCTCCTCGACTCTGTCTTTTGATTTCTCTGAGTGGGAACGAATTATATTAGAAGGTGTTACTGGTAAAAGCGTTGTCAAACACTGAATACTTGTGTCATCCTCACAGTCAACTTTAGTTTGATATGAGCACTAGCTACCCGCATCATTAGTAATTAAGGATGATTTGTTAGGATGGTTTTTTCGATTGACTGGAACAACCTCAACACCTGTATATGGATTCAGCAATGATACTTTACTACTCTTTAAAATGTCATTTCATTGGGAGTTATTCTCTTTAAATAGAAGGTACTTTACTGTGGTCTTTGAATCGATGTGTTCATGGGAGCAATTAGTGGTTTCCAACGGAGATAAGTTGTTGAATTACCTATCTTGTATGGTCGTGTTGATATTCCTGGTTTGGGCTCCAGTATCATTATAGTGTGATATCGTTCGTGGTCGTGACTTGGGAACTGCAGTTTGTGGTTGCAATCTAGAGCCAGAGAGAATATCTAATGAGAGTATGGAGACAGTTATTCTTATTATTGTTGTTTAGATATTTATTAATGATATCAAGCCAATATTGCTTTTTCAGTTAATGAACTTGTGATTGTTGAATAACCGTATTCCTATACCATCGCCCATTCACTAGTTCTGGATTAGCAGCTGAAGACAGTTAATTATATAGTGTTTCGTTCACTTTAAGGACGTCGATATTTCAACCGTGACAGTGGTTGCTAGTTTAAGTTGCCTAAAATGATTGTTAGGAACTGGAGTTATAGCAGATACTTGTTTAGTGAAATTTCCAAAGTATTTATTAATACAAAGTTCATCGACCCTCTTGGAAGTCGTACAAAAGTTTAAACTGGGTGACAGTGCTTACATTTGGAATGTGGATAAAAGTTTGGTCGAATACCTGAGGACATATTTCTCACAAAATTCTGGAGGAGAGGAAGTTAAGCCGTATGGGACGAGTATGGAAATGTTGTGAAAGAGGCGAGTCAGATAGAAATGACAACCAGAAAGTGTTCATTCAGTTAGGGGTTTACTTGCCTTCATGAAATGTGAGAAAATGCCACTCTTGG